TGAGTTGTGATCGTCACAGTAATTTGCATTGTCGTCCACACAATACCAGACAGCAGATCTGTCACATTCACTGCAACCTTCAACTTGCTGTTGTGAACCACTCATTTCTACTTAAGAAGAAACTGAAAGTGAAGCGATGAAACTGGCAGAGGACACCACTCAAACTATTCTTCGCTAAAGTTGAAATGAAATTGAAGCTTAGCTGGTGAAAATATCCATAATAGGGCTGTGTGTTGTTTCTTTTATCTTTTATTTTCTGAATTGACTATGCCAGCTTGAGAAGGCTTCCTCGAAAGAGGGATGAGTCAGAGCACAAGCGATATGAGTCAAGAACATTCACATTTCACAGGTAAACTTCTGTGTATAACATGTCAATGAGAAAGAAGAATGTTGAAAGAAATGATTGAGAGATATGTTTCGTGTCAATCCACGTGTCAATTCAGAGATAACTGGTTGAGTCAGCATAGTTAACTGTTTAAAAGGGCTTTTTCTTTTGTCTCATCTCGAATTCAAAAAATTAATGTTCTTATAGAATTTGATCACATAATGCTACAGACAAGTGAAATTGTTTGTGTTTCTGTATTTATTGCTTTATGCTGTTGGTGAAGTTTTTAACAGACTTTTTTGCTATTTGTTTGACTTTTAAACGATATAAAGCGTCCTTGAATCTATTGAACTGAACTATACTCAGTGGTTCGTTATATTGTTTTTGAAAACTGGCTCGAATATTCTCATGTTCACGATCTAAATTTGTTTTCAAATCATCAACATAAGACAATAGTTCTGCACCCGATTGAAAGCCATAGAGCATATTCAGTTCTGAACGGATACGGTTTTTATCGAACCATAAGCTGACGTCGTTGTCTGTCCAATGTTCTGAAGACTTTTGCAATAATAAGGTTTCATCTGTAGAATTTTCTATGATTTGTGGTTTTACATCAACAGCGTTAGTTTGCCCAACTGCGGGATTATTAGCGAACTTAAAATTCTCTACCAGTTTATGAAGAACTTAAGAATTGAGTGTCATGTTCAGATCTTCTGAGATCGTGTCAATAAGCTCTTCGAGTGCATTATCAAACAGTTTGTTATTAAAATCGATAGATGTTAAACCAGCGATTCTAATACCTAACCAACCGATCGGCTTGTACTTTTTTTGTGCACATATGGGTATCAAGCGTTTCTTAAGTGAATCTTTTGCATAAGTAAACTCTTGACGATACGATTTACTATCATAATAAGTTGTAGATATGATCAGACTGATGATGTTAACTAATTCAATAGAATGAACAATTTGTTCCCATAAATCATCGGAATGTGAAACTTAATGTCTAGAACGTTTATTTAAATTAAAAAGATCTACCCATAGACTAAAGTGTACGACAAAAGTTTAAATAATTTTCTTTTTCGGTTTTTCCTCTCTAGTGGAAAACATTTAAAGAGATTCAAAGCGTGGTATGACTAGTTTACATCCAAGGCTGGAAGATGCATATAATCGAAACTTTGCTGAACAAGAACTGGACTCGTAGGTTTCAAAACATTTTTCTTTCAGCCAACAAGAGTTTAAATCTTCTTTCTTAATTTGACTTTTCTCCCTCTTAAAAGGCTGTTAAGAAACATCAAATTTATATGGATCGATAGCAAATTTTACAGACTATATTTTTGTAATAAAGACTTATTGAAAGCCGGCCATCTTGAACTCAACATTTGGGTTTTATCTACAGATGCTTAAAAACTCTAAAAATTGAAATTTTTTCATAGTAAACGTCGACCAAAAACATTTTCGTATACACTGTTCAAAAGAGCATAAAAAACGGAACAAAACTGCCGTTTCAGAATTTCCATAAGATGAAGACGGTATGACGCTTGCATCCCCCTGCAGAATCTCATTCTTAATATGACCACCTCCAAAAAGTGACCACTTTTGCCCAGTTCGGAATGTGGTCACTTTAAAGAGATTTAGGTGTATTGGAGATTGAAGCAGTTTTTCTAGAGATTCTCTAAAGGCCCCACTCGAAAAGTTCAAAAAAGAATTTCAATTTTTTTGTGTTAGAAAAAGATTCAGTCTAGTTTGCTCTTTCGAATGGTGAATATCGCAGTCATCTGTTCATTATCGATGAGAAATTATTCAAAAACTAGCCAAGCGTGATGTAGTCAAGCGTGTGATATAGTAGTATTTACTCATCTTTTGGTAAAAAAGCATAAAAGTTTTTGAAAAAGTCGATTCACAAGCATCTTAAGTTTACGAATAGGACAGCAGATCGCTTGTATATGTTTCGAATACTGGAGTATGATTTTTGAACTTACTATTTGAAATCGGACGATGAACAGTCAACGGCATAGCTTCTTCAGCTAAAAGAATAATTTTATCATTTTCTGTAAATATTATTTGTTCTTGTTTATTTGGATTTATAACAATACCATGAAGTTTTGTTGGATCATGTACATATTTCATTAATCTATAACCAATAGCCAAACACTGACGTTTTATGGTTGATCGTAAAACTTGATTATAGCTAACTGGTGTATCTAGTGGAACAAACATCGACGCTTTGCGTAAATAAATTTCAGGACCATCAGCTGTCAATAAAACGTCGAATACTTTCCCGATGTTTTTATTTTCAGATAGTTGTGTAATATATTTTGATATTAAATTAGGGCCAATTAAAAAATCATCTACGAATGTCAAATTAGCCAGTTCACGATTACGTATGTTATGTATTTCTGTTATAATGTTAAATGTTTTTTCCCACTTTGACTGATCAATTATATCTCGTAGATGTAATAAACAAATGAGACATTCAGCATCAGCTTCTTCGATT